AGGAAGCCCAGCCTCTGAGTGGAAGATTTGGGTCCACCCAGCTGAACCTTGTGAGAAAGGTTTGTCATTAAAAACTCTATAGAGCATTGTACTGGACTCGATGGCAACTGACAACAACAAATACAAGGGGCTTTCTTCCAGGTGCTACACAGCTGCTGTTCTACAGACCATACTCTGAGTACTGAAGGTCAAAGTCAAGGTGACTTTTCCTTAGCTATGGCACCTTGGATAAGCCACTTATCTTTCTGATCTTAGTGTCTTTATCTTTACAACGCAGAAATAAATCTCTGGAGCAGAGGTACTTTGAAGTGGGACTTTTCTAAAATGCTTATAGAGATATCTGAGAGAATGTTAAGGCATCATTTCAATCTAAGGAACCATTCTTGTTGTTTTTATTAATAAGAATTCTGAACTCAGGAAACTCACTAGGTGACTTAAAACACTGCTTAACCTGCAAGCACAGCACTGGATTCTCCCAATGTTTTAGTTTTCTTTGGTTTAGAGCAAAAACTCTCTAAGAAATTTGTGAGATTAAAGTTGTCTGAAATGAAAAAATGAAAAAAAAAAAAAAACCCAACCCAAAACTCTATAGATCACAACTCTATTTGACACACAGGAGTCAGACATGACTTGAAAGCAACTGGCTTTCACAAGTGAAATAAATGGTTAAATAATTAGAAAATAATTAATTAATTCAGTAACTTAAATAATTAAAACTTATTCAGCCTTGACTGAAGGGAAAGGCAACGGTGAGCACTTAATAGCGTCTAGTTACCATGGAGAGTAATTATGTGTATGTATCACCCATGAAGTCCTCACAACCACCCTGGGACTTCTTTTATAAGAAAAAAAAATGAAAATAAATAAGGCAGGGGGCTCCAAAGCTTTAGAGTTTCCCTGATATCCACTATATATTTTCATAATGAGGAACTAGGGATTTTTACTCTTTGTTGTTCATTAAGTTCTTCATGTATAAGATTGCTTTGTTGCTCTGACTGGCTACAGCAACCATAACCAAAATAAATTCATTAACACTGGGTTGCTTATGATTCATAGCGATCCAAGAGAGTAATCCCATAGGGTTTACCAGGCTGAGCTCTGATGGCCTAGTGGTAAGAAGCTGGGCTGCAATCCTGAAAGCACACAGTTCGAATCTGCCAGCTGCTCCTCCCTCACAATTAAGCTGCCTCTGAAAGAGGTGGGAGGGTCAGCTGTGGGTCATTTGTGACTAGACAGCACACAACAACAACAACAACAACAACGATCTTTATGGAAGCACACTGCCACATCTCCTGTAAGCAGCTCATCGGTTCAAACTGCCAGTCCTTTAGTTAGCAGCTGAGTGTCTAACCACTGCTCCAGGAGGGCTCTTGCCACAACCATACGAGAGACGTTGAAAACGGAGAACCACGTCTTGACAAAAATGTACCCATTACACATACCACTATTTCTAACTAATAGTGACCCTGAACTGGGTTTCTGAGATCATAAATATTTGGGGAAGAAGCTAACTATATCTTTCCTTATGACTAACTAGTGGATTTTAGTTAGTATCCCCATAAAACCACACCATGCCACCAGGCACCTTTTACTCTCCTCATTCATCAAAGAAACCACACTAGAGATGGAGAAAGAAAATACAAGGCTCTTGAGTGTATTTTGCCATGTAGCAGTTCTTCATTTTAAAAACAAAGAAAGTGAGGCTCAAAGTTATGTTCCTTTTTGCAAGAAGCAGAGCTGAATTCAAACCAGTCTCATCCACTCCAAAGACTATGATCCTCCCACCAAAAACAATGCCTTCAGTGGAATCAGATCTCTGGTAGAAGTGAAGTTCTCATGAATTGGCCCCCAATTCTGTTAACAGTCCAACTCTGTTAACACTCTGGCTGTGGCTACCAAGCTCATGGAGAAGTCAGGCCTCTCAGGTAGAGAGATAAAAAGAGGTTTCTCAGATATTTATTCCTCAGGAATGGGAGTGTAGTTTTAACACAGAGACAATCAACACCTTACCACTGGCACAGGACATGTGGAACAAACAAAACCAAAAATGCCAAAAGACTCTTCCTCCTTGCTATTGGTGGGTACCATCAAGTCAGAGAAGCTCAAAACTTTTCCTAAAAACCATTAGCCTCATGACTGGTTTTATACCAGTCAAGTGAAAGGACGCACATCAAGCTACAGAAAACAATTTTCTAATGCTGCTATGAATCTACGACTATAGAACATTCATGGTCACGTTAAACTTAACTTTTTCAGTAACAGAAGGGATAGAACCTAACAGCTGTAGGTCTCTTCCAGACTCCTATTCCCACTCTAATTTACCATCCAACCTCTCCTTGGGTGTGAAAGTGGGAAGGGTAGGAGAACAAAAGCTGCTAACTTTTATTTTCTTCCTCTACTCCTAACTGTTGTTCAGGAAATAAAGGTCACAATTCAATCCTATACTGGGAGAAAGTCACCACAGACATGTTAGAAGTATTGGACATTTTAATATTTCAAAGAAACTTTATGGGTTATGAGTCAAATCAGCTTCTTAGTCTTTACCTACAATTAAACAGCAGTATGGCTACACTATTAAGTAAAAAATTTCCTCACTTGATTGTTTTGCTTGTTGTTAAGCGCTGTCAAGTCACTTAGCATCACATAATGATCATACGCACAACAGCTCTGAAGTCCGCTCTATCTTGAACTAATGTCATCATCTCTGACACATTCACCCCCATTACTCCAGTAACTGAATCAATCCATCCATCTCATCCAGGGTCTTCCTCTCCTGAACTGTACCCTCTAACCTCCCAAGCATGATGTCCCTCTCCAAGCACTGGCCCCTCCTTGCGACATATCCAAAGCATATCAAATGGAACTTCAGAATCCTTGTCTCCAAGAAGCAGAGTGGTTTCACCTTCTTCTCCTAGCAGACCATGGTATATTAAATACTCTTCTTCAGCATCACAGCTCAAAGACATCTATTTTCCTTCTATCATCCCTAATCATTGTCCAGCTTTCTGATGTGCAACCAGTAATTGCAAAGACCATGGCCTGGATCAGGTACACCTTAGTCTCGAAACTGACAGCATTGCTCTTCAGTACTCTGGAGAGGTTTCCTGACTACAAATTTCCCCTATACAATTCATCTTTTGATTTCCTCACTGCTGGAACCAAGATGCTGATTGTGAATTATTTTATTGTTTTTGTTAAGTGCTGTCAAGTCGTAGATGACTCATAGTGATCCTATGAACAAAAGACCTGGACACTTGTATAACTTTTATCGCTTCTCCAAGTTTATAGAGTTTCTGGAAGCAAGCAATTTCTGAAGTGGATGCCACTCCTGCTTCCAAGCTTGTTTTAATGGGGAAGTTCCACCAAATACTCTCCACCATGGGTAATCATTATCACATTTGACACATCAGTGTCACAGTGCTTAGCATCACAGCAACCACAAGTTACCTCTATACAGCAAATGGACAGACCAGTGCTATACTACTCATATTTAAAATTACTTCTTTTTTTCTAAAATTGGGGCCCAGTCAACAATAACAGAAAAAAATTTAGGCCGATTATATTTTCTTCCTCCTATTCAAATGTAGCTGCTGGAGCAAATAGTACCTACAAAGCTATTCTACACATGAACTTGAATTACATGGAATACTTCTGTCAACACCCAAAGATATGTCTGCCAAAGACCACGGATTATACTGCATAGACTTAACAAAGTGTATTTTCAAGTGTAGTGATGTTCTATTACTATGATAGCAAAATAATTTCTGTTAAATGATGTTTAGAATTTGACAAATAATTTGCTTCGTGAAAGAACAGAGGTTGTTCCTGAGATTGGAAGCAACACTCTTGGAGAACTAGAAGACAGTTAACAGACAATCTTACACGATTCCCTCATTGTATTTATAGGGAAACTAAGTCTCAGATAGCTTAGGAGGAAGGTGCCAGGTCACACAGAGGATCAGTGACTGAGGTAGGACAAGAACTCATGTCACTTTATAATACGTACAATGAACTCCTCCTAAGAGATACTGAACACATCTGCAGACTGGAACAGTTCAGAACAATAAAGCAGCAAAGCCAAAAACTTGTAAAAATACAAAAAACTTCACTACATTATTCCTACGTCTTTGATCAAATTATTTTACTTAATGATAGAAGTTTAAGATAAACAACCAGTTTGGTAACAAATGAAATCCTGCTCCAATATATGAAAATTTCTGTGTTGGAAAAAGTCCTCTCACAGCCTGATTTTTTTTCTGGCATGTGCTCTGTTCTTTCAGTTAGCAGGCTTAGTTATTAAAGACAGCTGTGTCCATTGTTTATGAATATTATGGATGCTGAAAACCTAATAACAAAACCAAAAAGTCTCCAGAGTCCCCTCCTTCTCCTTTTCTTGAACTTGAAACTGAAAAGAAACACATTTCCCACCAAAGTCAAGTCCAGTCACTCCTGTCATCTAGCAATCATATTCACAAACTCAGACTGATGAGGGGGAAAGAACCCCAAAGTCAACAACAGGCCTACCATGAAATATTTGCAAGTATATTAAAAATGTGTTTCATCAAATTAAAGCATGAAAAAAATTAAGATATGGATCAGCATGAATGATGTGGCAAGATTACTTATTTCATATTTATTTTTCAGTGCCCAAGTAACTATACAGAGTTTTAGTTCTCAGAATATATCCAAAGAATACTCCTTTGTAATAAGCAACTACTTTTACTGATATTTGGTTACATCACCAATTTGTATTTAATCAGACCGCAGTGAAACAGACACCCTTCCCCAAATAAAGCGATAATCATAGACAAACTATAGTCTTTCTATGTATTCATTAGGAAGATCAAATTTTATTTTCTTCTGTTTAATTCAACAATGCTAGTAATATTCAAAAGTTCTCACATGGTTTCAAAATTTAACACCTAGGATCATGATTGCTTTGTTTGATTCTGTTCTGTGTTTCACAGAGGCCAGAAAAGATAAATTAAACAAAGAACAGCAGTGCCTAGAATTCTGACTGATGTGTTCTACACTGAACCCTAGTTTTTCAGATATTTCAAGATACTCCTAACATCTAGATTGGATCATCTAGATTGTAGAAACATACCTTTTTCAAATTTTAAAATCTGCTCAGTATTTCAGACTAGCTTTGCAAACTACAGCAAGGGGTCTGAGGTGGGTTTAAAAGGTATGTTCACTGTTTCTGACTCATTGTAGGCTCACTGGTGGCTGTTAAAGAGAATGCTGGTTATATACACAGGACAGACTCTTCCCTTGTGTTTGCAGTTCTTGTATCCTCCATCTTTGGGGAGGACCGTGGCTCCCTGCAATCCATACTTATTGCTGCTCTCACACCAAACAAGTGGTACCATTTAAAATTCCACACAGAGGGAAGGGTGGTAATTGAAGCCATTCAAGGGACCACAAAAGCTCTGCCACCCTCCAATCGAGCATTTGAATGACATTTAAAAGGTGCCAAAATGTGTAATCAATTCATTCAGAAAATATTTCCTGAATATCTAGTTTGCGCAAAACTTAAATGGTTATTCAAGGCAAGACCATAATGGCAGTGAAAATGAGTTCTGCTATATTATTAATCCCAGGCTAGCATGCACGGCTACTGATGAGAATGGAAGAGGGCAGCAATAAAGGAGTCGGACAGAAGAACAAAACGGGGGTGAGGGGGTGTGAGTTGAGAAAAAAGGATGAAAAGAACAGCAAAAGGAAGGGAAAGAGCCATAAAGCAGAGCCAACCAACAAAAGGAGTAAGAGAGCAGCTGACCTCACTGCACTGAGGTGTAAACCACAAGGACCTAGTTCCTTCAATTTCAGCTCACAGTGATCCATCTGTGTCAGAGTACAACTGAGATCCATGGAGCTGTTAGTAGCTGTATTTTTGGAAGCAGATCACCAGGCTTTTCCTCTGCTGCTCCTCCAGGTGAAATGGAACCTTGAATCTTTCCGTCAGCTGAGCTAATTAACCATCCATACCACACAGTGACTCTAGACTTATGGATGCTATTAAATAATAATAATAATAATAATAATAATCTGGAAGCAGTTACAGGGGAAAGGACTTAAAAAATATTTGGACATGTTCTAATGCACAATAACACAAATACGTTAGTATAGTTTGCTGACAAAATATTTTTTTTTCATTCATAAATGACTCTGCTCTCTTCCTCCCACCTCCTTTGTGAGTTGTGCCAAACATAAGTATAAATCCTAACCCTGATCCCTAAGGAAACAATGCCATTTGGGAATAGGTAATTCCTTGATAATAAAGGTACACTAATGTATGGTTAATCACAAACTTAAATATTTCTGAGTTCTAAGGGAGGAACACGCAACCACAGAGAAAGAAAACAGCAGAGACAGACACATCCACACGGATCTCTGACAGCTCCTAGAAGCTGAGGATTCTCAGGGGCTCAGTGATTAAGTAGTTGATTATCAACCAAAAAGTCAGCAGTTTTGAAATAGAAAGAAAGATCTCTCTCCTAGAATTAATCTTCCTGAATCCAGATCTCCCAATGTTATAAATACATCTACTTATGGTATTTCTGTTACCTTAGTGCTGGGAAACAGTCTTAGTTATCTGGTGACGTTATAACAGAAATACCACTAGTGTCCACCTTAATTAAGAGATTTACTCTATCACAGTTTTGTTGTTGTTAGGTCTTGATGAGTTGAGTACAACCCATAATGACCCTATGAACCCCAGATTTGAACCCTGTCCTATCCTCTGCCATACTCACACTTCCTGAAACCCTAGAGCCCATAGCAGCACTGTGCCAATCCACCTAGTTGACAACTTTCTGTCTTTCTAAGCATAATGTCCCTCTCCAAGGAACAGCCCTCCCAGGAAAATGTCCAAACTATGTGGGACGGAGCTTTACTATCTTTGCCTCCAATCAACACTCTGGCTGTACTTTCTCCAAGACATATCTGCTTATTTTATTTGTTTCAGTCCATGGGATATTCAATATTCTTCTCCAACACCACAATTCAAAGGCATCAATTCTTCTGTGATCCTTATTCATTACCCAGCTCTCAGAAGCATAGCAAGTGCTTGAAAAGATCATGATCTCACAGTTTAGGAAGCCTGAATTCAGGGAAGCTTTTCCCTCTGTGTCTGATTTGGAGGAAGAGCCTCATTAAGATTTCCTGGGTTTAGTTTGTGCTCAGTGCAGGAACCCAACATGCTCTGCTCCTGGCTCTCATTTCTTGGTGGTAGTCAGGGTCCTCTGATTGCTGTTCAGTTATTCAATCTCTTAATTCTCAAAAGAAATTGAATAAAATACTACATAACTTAGGAGAGACTGGAGAGCATTATGCTGAGTGAACTAACTCAGTCTCATAACGACAAATACTGCATAATTATCATTATTATAAAAATAGAAGGATAAATAGTAAAACATGCATGGGGACTCAGTGGGGGAAGGCGTGGGAGCAAAGGGGTAAGGATGGGTGGGGGTGAAACCACAGGGTTACACAATTTGGTGAGTGGAGGAAAGAGGTCAAGCAAATGAGAAGGACCAGGCAGCAACCTGAAAAGACAGAGTAATAATGGACAAAGTCCAATGGTGCTTAGTGTTATAAAACATAATGCATGGGAATGATTGTATGAAACACAACAGTAAATGAAGAATAGTGTGAAATACAATGTATATGAACTTTGTAAGCAATCCAATATAAACGAAAAATTGAATAAATATACAATATAACCATCCTCATTGTATCATGCCTTGTTAACATAACTGCTGCTCCTCTTGCTCCATTACTATCATAGAGTTTAAGTTTTATATTTCACACTACAATTACATCAGAGCACATCATTATTTTTGAAAAGTTTCTGAAGACATATGGATGTGTTCACAATATAATATTAAATTAACTTAATCAGGATGCAAATCTGCATAACAATATGTTCCTACCTAGATATGCAGAAGAAAGGCTAAAAGGAAAATATCAAATTACATTAACAGTGATTATCTTTACATAGTAGAATTATTTCTATTTTCCAATATAACTGAGCTTCTATAGTTAACAATAAGTTACAAATATGGTATTCTGTATTTGTCATACCAAAGAAAGTTGATGGGTGGATTCATTTGGGAATTATTTTACATTAATATACCCAATTTAATAAACCATATATGCCTAAGAAAAAAATAGGACATCTCTATCTGTGAGAGCCCAGAGCTTAATGTAGATTGTAACTTTAAGTAGGAACTCAATAAGTATTGTTTTACTAAACTCTGAAGAAGTTTCCAATTATCTATCCATTCCTCCTCTTTTTATCCCTCCCGGAGCATCAGCCATGAATTAGTTCCAACTTGAGTGCACATAACAACAGCAACATCATCTTGACAAGTTAGTTACATATTAATTATTAACTATATTCTCTCCTTCTTTTCACGTAAAATAAATCTTTCTGAGGAATTCTGAGAGATGAAAGGAATTCACCATGTAAGAGGCCACAATAAGAAGAGAAGGGCAAGAAGAGACTAAATAAATAAATAAATAAAACAAACACAAACTGTCTTAGCAAAAATACAACAGGATAAGATTTAATCAGTTGAATTAACTTCTCCACCAACGCTGAATATCTATTCCAAATTTCACTCAACTTATAAATACATCTGCTTCTTAGCAAGAACAAAGGCACCACTCAGAAACAATTATACAACTTCCCCTTGATTCTGCCAGGAAGATGAACTTGAATCCACAGAACCAATGAAACGTACAGTTAGGTGATTCCTATATAAATCTCCTAGAAGAGCTACCCAAAATTGATACTTAAACATTACCAGTGACTATCCCAAGAGATAGAAAGGCTCCGTCGGATCAACATTTATTTCTATCCATCTCTGGAAGCAAGCACCAATGAGAGGTGGCTCTATCCCAACAACGATCACATTTTCTTTGTGCGCTCATCAGTTCTTGGCGAGAAGATGTATTGTAGATCAGAGTGTCTTCATTCTCCAGCTGGTGTGAGGGTAACAGATACATGTTCTTCATCCATTCTGGCATTTTGGTGACATATACTTAGGCTGAATGCCCAAGGCTCAAATCTGGAATGAGTTTAAACTTGCTTAGACTTGCTAACCTCAGAGAGAAGAAGTGTAATTCACGTTTTCCCCACTGTGTTAATATCCTTTGTAGCAGATTTTTGGTTCTTTTAAGATGCTCACACCATCATTATTTCTCCCGTGAAATGTCTGGTTGATCTTCATTCCATAGAGTTAATCAGCATTATCCAGTTTCAAATGTGGACAATCATAGATAATGTCTCAAAATTACACTCTTTGGGGGGGGGGACAGAATCAGAATGAAGGAGAAATGACATGTGGCTTTACAATCAGAAAACTCAAGGTTTTATTTTCATTAGTTGTGTGACCTCAGGTAAATTACTAAACTTCTTAGAATGTCATTTTTCTACAAAAATAAAAAAACCACACACACACACACAAAAAACCCAACCACAGGACTTACATCTCAGTTGCAGGACAATGCTGAAAATTAGCATTCGAGTCCTATATGTACTTGGCACAAAAGACACACTCAGTAATAGTAGCTATTATTAGCAATTCATTTGTAGATAAATCGCCTGTTGATTTCTTTTCAAAATGTGTGTTTTTATATAAATGCTTAAATATCATATATCAGAAGAGAAATTTTCTTTCCAACTATTTTCCCTGTTGGGCTCATTATTAAGGTGGTGGCTCCCTGTGTAGAAAAATAACTTTACGGGATGTTTCACTATAAATTAGATGAAGAAATAATCACAAGAAACCTTAAAAGCCACTGAAAAAGATAGACATACAAGCATGAGGATTCACACTCAGAATTGACCTGAAAATATGAGGCACATATTAGACAAGATTTAAAACACAGAACATTAATTTTCATTCTTAAATGTTTACTCTGTTATGCGGGGTTAAGACAGGTTGAGATCAACAACACCCAATATGATAACAATAAGCTCAATTTTACCTTATA